CATACTGCCTACAGTAGAATGGACTCTCCTATGTTAAGTAACCATGATGACACGTACTGCCTACAGTAAAATGGACTCTCCTATGTTAAGTAACCATGATGACACGTACTGCCTACAGTAGAATGGACTCTCCTATGTTAAGTAACCATGACCATGACGACACTGCCCCACAGACAACCCCACAGGCAATTCTTCAACTGCAGCTCCCTCTTCCCAGGCCTCTTAATTTGTGTCATTATTGCTTCTGTCATGTAAGCAGACATGGTGCTGGCTACATCTTGACTAGAAGGCAGCAGGAAGTCAACTGACTGTCAGACTGAGTGAAACTTGAGAAAAAGACCTCAAAGCTCACCCCCGGAGTGACACACTTCCTCCAAATAAACCATACTTCCTCCAACAAAGCCACACTTCCAAACAGTGCCACCGCCTACGGGGGCCATTTTCTTTCAAACCACCACACCATGTCACTCTCATTCATGACAAATTGACAATAGACGCTAAGCAGTCTAAGATATAACTAGCAAATAAAGCATCTGGGAACGCAGGTTTGAATCTTGACTTTCTGACAATGGGGCCGAGAGCAATTTGACTGAGGAAAGTCCTCCGTAGGCTCAGGTGTTTGAACACTTAGTGAGGCTGTTTGGGGAAGCAGGATAACATTTGGGAGGTGGAACCTTGTGGTATGTCACTGAGAGCAGGCTTTGAGTGTTTAGAATCTCACTTGTTTGGTATCTCTGCTTTTGGTTTGTGGTTTGAGATATGAGCCCTCGGTTTCCTGTTTCTGCTCCTGTGCCTGCTTGCTCCCCTATCACGATGGACTAATCTCCCTGAAATCCTAAGTCCTGAAACACTTTTCCATCTATAAGCTGTCTTGGTGTTCTAGTCGTTGTCTCATAGTAAAGAAAAGTAACGCAGAGGGGCCGGAGAGACCGCTCAGCCGTTAAGAGCACTGGCTGCTCTTCCAGAGGACCCAGGTTCAACTTCTAGCACCCACATGGCAGCTCACAACTGTCTGTAACTCCAGTTCCAGGGTACCTGAAACTTCTCAAGGCAAATCATTAGTCCATATTTTTTTTTAAAAAAAGTAATATAAAGCTATTAATTCTTTGTCCTTAAAATGCAGTGTACAACACATTTATCTGCCTTTTCCTCCTCCACAAGATTGATGTTTGTTATCTAAACAAGCAAGTAAGAAGAAAAAGACACATTCAATTTTTGACTAGTTACAAAGAAATCTGAAAGCCATACTTGTATAAAAAAAGACCATAATTATTCATATATAATGTAATGTGTCAAATGGAACTTTATAATGTATTATGTTCCTGCATTTAAATCTTGGAACTGGCATTTTGTGGTCGTGTGTTGTGACCTAAGCATTTCTGCTCTAGATACAGAACGCTCTTCCAAGCCTCATCTCAGTGCTCATTGTCCTGCTGCAAGATGGTGGGTGAGATCTCATTCGGCTTTGTAAAATAAAATGTCTGTTTCTCTTGTTTGCTGCTGCGATGACTCCAGGACCTGGCATGGTGTGTGGTGCACAGTAAGGTCAACACATAGTTTCTGAAAGAATGAATACAATCCTAACTCCTTTTGTGACATAGAAGGCCTGTGACAGATGGGCCTAGCCTCTTTCCCTTTCCAAGCTCTCTTTCCTCATCCCTTTTATAAACCTGTGCACCAAAGTCTTTGTGTTTTCATCAGAAAATGTGAAAGCTCCCCCACACCCTTTTCTTCCTCATGATGCCTCTCACTGCCCTACTAGGCTTTTGCTTTGGATGTCCCTGTGTACTGGCTACCTTTCCCCTACATCTGTGGCCTGAATCGGAAGCTTCTCGCCTGTTTTACCATGGCGTCTCCTTTTTCCTTTTTATAGCACTGCATTCACTATTACTTCAGACAGTCCTCATTGATTCTGCGCCATTGCCTCAGACAGCCCAGGTCTTTCTCCTTCATAAGACTGTAAGCATGCTAAAGGCTGTGTGCTGAAACCTGATAAGGAAGCGTTTTACTTAATGTTTTAGCTTGAATTTGGAGTGTTCCCACGAGCTCATGCTTGTGGTGCGCTTCTGAAAGTTACCGGGTCTGGTGGAGGTGGGGGCCTGGAAGGGATGGGGGTTGGGGTGGGGAGCGGCAATAGTTCACTGGAGGTGGGCCTTAAAGATAATACTGACTTCTGGGGGAAATAGTTCACTGGGGGGGTAGGCCTTAAAGGTAACTAACACTCACTTCCTGGGGAAGTAGTTCACTGGAGGGTTGGCCTTAAAGGTAACTAACACTCACTTCCTGGGGAAGTAGTTCACTGGAGGGTTGGCCTTAAAGGTAACACTCACTTCCTGAGAAAGTAGTTCACTGGAGGGCAGGCCTTAAAGGTAACACTCACTTCCTGGGGAAGTAGCTCACTGGAGGGTGAGACTTAAAGGTAACACTTCCTGGGGAAGTAGCTCACTGGAGGGCGGGCCTTAAAGGTAACACTTCCTGGGGAAATAGCTCACTGGAGGGTGGGACTTAAAGGTAATTCTCACTTCCTGGGGAAGTAGCTCACTGGAGGGAGGGCCTTAAAGGTAATTCTCACTTCTGGTTCTAGCCCATGGTCTTCACCATCTAGTAAGGAGAGCAGGAAAAGCTTCAATTGCATGCTGCTCACACTGCTACCGCATGAATTCTACCCTCCTTCCCTTCTGATGGACTGAAGCTGCCCTGACACCATGCTCACAATAAATCTCTTCTCCCTCAAGAAAAAGCAACCACTACACACGGGAAATAAATAAGCCCAATTGTCTAATCCTTTATTTGTTTTCTGTTTTTTTTTTTTTTTCAGATACTGGGACCAGGTGTGACAGAGAGCTAGCGAGAGCCACTAGCTCTTGGCCATTATGGAAGTCATGTCTTCAGTGAGGTTTCTTGGATGTCAATGTTTCCTTGGCTATTTCACTCTAATATTCAGCTAACCTTGTTCCAGAAACTGCAAAATAATTGGGATCCAACGTTTGAAGCCAGTGGTTTTCAAGCAACCATAATTAGTTCAAAAGGCTTTTCAAAAAGCACATCTATGATTTCAAATTACTCACGTTGTTCTGCAGTAATATCCCGAAGCTGTTAAAAGAGTGTGACTTAATGGTTTGTTCAGTGTTGGAGGTCTGGGCCGCTGTATGAGAGTGGGAGGTCACGCCGCCACGCCGGAGAGGCAGCTTCCTTCTGTCAGATCAGGCATTATCAATGTTATTGCTTAGGCCATTATTGTGAGGTGGTCAGGACATCTGCAGCAAGGAGCTACCTAGAAAAACATTCCCTTTCTTGAGCAGTGCCAGCTAGCAGTGCACACAATGAAAGCAGGAACTAATAAAATGTGGGGCAGAGAAAGAACAGAGGTGCTGAACCCCTGAAGGCCTGGCTGGAATCTGACCGTACCACGTTGAATGCCGAGGAGTGCCATGTCTGTCTGTAAAACAGGCTAACCGCGGAGGGTCTGAAGCTGACCTGTGCGGTGTCCAGCCAGCGCCTGGCTACAGGAGGGGGCTGAAGGAGTAGAAGGCGCTCCCACAGCAGTAGGGCTCTAATGACTCGTAGACTGCTGCTCCATTCCTGCACACGTCTGCTGTAGTCGCTTTCCCAACTGGGTTCTTCTGCAGAGTGAAGGTCTGCATAGGCTAGGAATGGAAGCCTGGTCAGTGCAGAGTAAATACTTAATGGTTGAAAAGGAGGCTGTTATTGCTGGATGGCCGGATCTTGGTTGTTCCGGTACAGGCTGGGGGTGCTTACTCAGGCCTTGTGGGCACCCCTAAACACATCCACACGGTGGAAAGAACTGCAGTTGGCTTTTGTCCCCATGATGGGGAAGGCAGATTGTTATAAAAAGGGTTAAAGAACCTTTCTCAAAAGAATATAGAGTTAATTATCTGTCTTTCGGCAGACCATGAATTGGGTTTTTTATTTTTCCGATCATTTAAAACTTTTAAAACATTGTATTTTATTGTGTATGGGTGTGTTTTGCCTGCAAGTTTATCTGCACATTATGTGTGTGCCTGGTGCCCAAGGAGACCAGAAGAGGGCATTGGGAACCCTGGAACTGGAGTTACAGACAGTTGTGAGTTGTCATGTTGGGGCTGGGAGATGAAGCCGGGTCCTCCGAAAGAAAAGCCGTGCCCTTCTCTACTGAGCGTCTCTCCAGCCCTTAGTGCAGTAGTCAGTGGTGGGTTGTGGCTGTCGCAGGGGTCACATAGCACATATTTGCATTACAATTTCTAACAGTAGCACAATTATAGTTATGAAGCAGTAATGAAATAGCTTTTTATGGTTGGGGGTTACCACAAAATGAAGAACTATATCAAGGGGTCCCAGCATTAGGAAGGTTGAGAACCACAGCCTTGGTGGATTGATTTGAAGAAGAATGGATTCTTTCATGAAATGCCTATTGGACTCATCTGGGGCCTAGATCTGAATACAGAGTTTTCCCCAGCTGAACACCAAACACGGATCAGTCAAGACTTTAGAAAAAATGACGATAAAGCACTCAAACCGTTTTCTTGAGGCGTGCACACATTTTCCTGGGAAAAGGTATTAACACTTGCTTGCCAAATGCTTCAACCCCAGTGCTCTCTCCTCCTGCCAATACATATGGCATCCGAATGCCTATTTTTGCATTTACACACTCTCTCTGTTCTATAGTAGCTAGGCTATATGTTTCCTATGAACAAGGGAGAGCCTTTATGTTGAGGACTGGAAACGCAGTTGTATGATTTAGAATGCTTTGGTTTTTAGCAGCTGAAGAGTGCACATCCTCCCAACATTTCAGATGAGGTACCAGTGTTTGCACATGCTCAAGAAGTCTGAGGTGGAACTACCACGGACAACTTGCCTCTAACCACTTGGCAAAGCGCTTGCTCCTAGGCCGCTGCTCTGGCAAGTTTCCTCTGGGAAATGTTGGAGGAACAACGTGAATTGCAATTTGTCTCTTCTTGTTTTTAAAGACAAATGTGGAAAGGAACACTTCTGATAAGCAATAAGACAAAGATAACCTATCAGATGAGGGGATGAAGTGCAGAAAACCCACAATCATTTAACGAATGGACTGAAGCTAGCCAGCGTTTCATCACATTTTAAAACCTGAGCCCAGCAACCGCCCAAAGGGATGTGTGTCTGACTGCATCTCCAGTGAAGGCCACTTAACACTAGGAATGCTCCCAGCAGTGCCGTTCAGTAAAAGTAGCCTTTCTTACAGCATTTGGGGTCTGGTTCTTTGAAAATTAATACTGTTCAATGTCTACTGAAGTTGTTTGTTTGTAGTCTATAGGATGTGTATAGGATGGGCTTATAAATTATCCTCTGCCCTGGGCTAGCTTTGAAGTGGAAAGGAGAACCATTAAGAGCTACACCAGGATCATAGGCATAAAGCTGGAGAAAGTGACCATCATGGGAATGTGGATTCATGTAGCACAGCCATAGGGTTTTTTATTTTATATGCCACTGTGTATTATTTATGCATCTTTAACAGATAGGTAGCTATGCTCTTTCATTCACTGTTGTGGTAGAGCTGAGTGGAATCATGTCTATATTTCCCTTGAAGCTAAGACCTTGCCTGGCTTTGCAGGTCTTCTGCATACGCTAGCACGCATCACTCCACAGATTATTGTAGGGCCCACCCAGAAATCAAAACCACCATCTGGCTTTCATCGGTTTAGTTTGTTACCAGTTTATATCCTTCAGGGCTCCATCAGTGGCGTATTTGCTAGACTGCAAGATCAAAGTGAACCGGCAGAGGATTCTGGACTTTTCCATAAGGTCCCAGATTCTAGTCCTATCTTTATCAGAAGCTAACTGTGATTTTTGGCAAGCCATGTAACCTCTCTGTGTTTTCCAGGGCTTATCTCAAAGGCTGTGGGTAAGGACTATCTGATGCTCAGACCTCAAAGCTTTGTTGGGCAGACGCAGTGAGGATGGACAGGGCAGCCTCCCAGAAAGGACCATACACGCGTGGAGCCTTATTGTTACAGGAGAGCAGAGGAGCCGTGTGACACGCATGACAGGGCTTTCAACTCTGGCTGGCCTTGGAGGTTAGGCTTGTGCAAACAAGTGGTGGAAATGAGGCCAGGAGAGGCCCAGTTCTCTTTCCTGAGTAGGATTGGGGAGCTGAGAAGAAGGGGGCAGGACTGTGGCCAGCAAGGACAGGGCAGTTAGGGGGCTTGCCTTGTAGCTTGGCTGCCACTGCCATGTGCATCAGAGCAGTATAGTTGCTGGACCCTCAGTTCTAGCCTGTGGGTGTACCCACTTCTCATTAGCAGGGGTATTTTTTTATTTCACAATCCAATAGAAATCGGAAAAACCAAACTCTCCGGACCTGTTGACATTGTATTAGGAGTAAATGAAATCGCTTATGTCCAAGTGCTCGTGCTGAACTCTGAATTATAATAAAAATGATGACATGAAGGCGTGGGGCTTTTGATACTGGCTATTCTAATAAAAATCGTGTTCTTCTTTTTCTGAAAAGCTATTAGAACTCGGAAAATTTAATTAGAACTTTGAAATTTTGCAGAAGTAGTATTTGCTTATACAAGTTCAGGTATGTCAGAAGGTTTGTGGAGGGGAGAAATCAACTATAATCCTGCCACCAAGAAATACCAGTTAATAGCACTTTTTGTTTGTGAACAGTTGTCCAGACTTTTCCGATGCTTGGATATGATTTTTATTTTATTTATTATTGTGTGCATATGATATGTGTGTGTGTGTGTGTGTGTGTGTGTGTGTGTGAGAGAGAGAGAGAGAGAGAGAGAGAGAGAGAGAGAGAGAAATACTGTGGTCTATGATGTATTTGTAGGAATCAGAGGGCAGCTTTTGGGAACTGGTTCCACTGTGAATTCTGTAGATCAAACTCAGGTCATCAGGCTTGTGTGGGAAGTGCTTTTTACTGGCTGAGCTTCTTGCTGGCCTTATAGGTTTTTAACGTAAAAAAATTTTCTCTCATTCTTTTTGAGTGTGGTAATTTACATGCTGTTTAATAGAATGCTAAGCTTTTTTCTGTAGTTTATATTTTTATGGGAGGATTCAAGCAACCAAGAGATTTTATAATATGAAGTGAAGAGAGCAGAATGAGGTGATACAGGACTTGGAACACAAAGGAGGAGCATCAGTAGGCCTGGCAGTCAAGGAACTCTTCCCAGAGGAAGGGCATTCAAGACGAGACCAAAAGATGACTGGAGTAGATGCTGCAGTGTGATACCTAGATATCTCCTGAAGGACCAGGCTCAATTCCTCACCCAGCAGCAGAGTTGCTTTTTGATGGCATTTAGCTAACCTTTTCCTCCAGGAATTAGCTGTGCTTCACAGAGCAGCCTTGTTGAAGGTCATTTCTGTCTCAGAGGAAGCCAGAGTAAAGCCACCTCCTTCCTTAGTTAAGGATGCTCTAAAGGACCATGGTAGTGTTGAAGTTCCAGACAGGTTCAGCTGAGGCTCAGTCACAGCTTCATGGTAATTCCACTTTCCCCTCTGCCCAGGCTTGCTGCCTTTCCTCTTCACAGACATTTCGGGAGCACTGCACAATAGTACTGCATGTAGTACTGTGGTCCTCTGGTCAGCACAGGCCAAGACTGGTGTGACAGCGGGAAGTGTAGGGAGGGCGTCACCTAAAGACAGAAAACTGTGTTCAAGGACATATTAGTCAGGCTTTTGCGTTAGTGACCAATAGCCAAAGAAACCAACTTATAGGAAAAAAAGATATTTATGTTCGGATCAAGGTCCATCATCCCTCTAATTGATGCGCTTGATATCATGGTGGCAGGAAGGTGTGCCCGTAAAGAGTTCCTTGCCTTGTGGCAGAAAGGCAGTAACAGGAGGGAGCTGAGGTGAGGGATGGCTCCCAAGGACACATCCCCAGGGATCTACTTCCTCCAACCACGCCCAAATTTTCATACTATGCCAAGTCTATTCAAATTTAACCTAATTTGTGAATCCATCCACTAAAAAAAAAAGCAGAGCCGACTGACTGGCAACCCGGTTCTGGTTCACGAGCCCATGGGAGACAAGAGACTGACTTTTTTGCTGGAGAGAGAATTTTTCACAAATCTTGCAATGTGTGAGTAATGTGGGTAGAAAAGCAGCATGGGTCCAGAAAGAAATGCAGTCTCTTATCACAACACCTGAGAGACTGGCCCCTGTGCTAATGACAGCAGAAGCCTCAGAGACATGCGTTGGGAAGAAACCCACTTTCACTAGTTTTACAAAGATCATATTAGTTGTACTATACCCAGTTAAGATGTTTCATTATCTTTACCCACTATATGTTTAAGAAGTATTTTGGGGGGCTGGAGAGATGGCTCAACAGTTAAAAGCAGAATCAGGTACTACAATGTTTTATTTCATTCGTTCATTCATTCATTCAATTTGTTTTAAATGATGCTGATTTAAAGGATTTGGGAACATCCGATATGCTATTCTGCAGGGAGGGGGGAAGGAAACACAACCAAGGAAGCGGCAGGACGTGATATCTAGAGGGGCAGAGGCAGGAAAGGAGACTGACAGCTCTTTCAGGGACGTGGGTGTGCCGTGGTCTCTGTTTAACCAGACTGGCGATGATGCCACACACCGCTTCAAGTCTGCCTCCTGCACGGGAGAAGCACAGTCCTCAGAGAGCACCCTGGAGCACTGGGTGTCCCGATTAGTCCTTAATGTCCATGTCTAGGCTGTCAGGCAGGATCAACTGCGGTCTGGACAGTCACATCTAAGCCTTGGGGACAAGCTGGCTCACCGTGATAAATGAAAGAGATCAAAGGACTCCTCCTTGTCTGTCAAGGAGAGCAGCGTTCTCTACCTTTACTTCTGCCCTTAACAAAAAGCAATGATTCCAATCATTTTTCTCTCCTTCACTCGCACCTTCACCCTTTCTTGTGGATGGGACTGTGAGGGGGGCATAGTGGGGGTGGGGGACA